CCCAAGCCTGGACCCCTTACATCCTCACAGGTATTGTAAGAACCTTCCCCCCTCCAAAAACTATCTGCATTCAAATCTCCATCCCAGAGTCTGTTTTCCTAAGCCATCCCTCCACACCATATTCTCAGCATAACAGCTGTTATGAGGTAAGGCAGGTCTTTACCCCTTTACTCAGATCCCTTCAATGGCTTCCATCTCATCAGAACCTTGCCATCCACACCCTTGTTGCATTATTGCTTGACTTCGCCTCCTACTCCTCTGCCCTTGATCACACCAGCGACACTGGCTTCCTTGCTGTTCCTCAAACATACCAGGAATGCTCCTGCCTTGGGGCCTTTGCATGTGCTCTTCTAGCTTCCTGGAATGCTCCTTTTCCAGTTATCTGCATAACTCCATCCTTCACCTCCTTCTAGTCTTCAGTCAATGAAGACTTCCCTGACCCCCTACTTAAGTGTGCAGGACTCTACCGAACCCCAGACTCCACATCCCTCTTTGGTTTCTCCATAGCATGTATCAGAATCTGGCACACTGTACATCTTATTTATGTTAATGTCTGTCTCCACCAGAATGTAAGCTCCATGAGGACAATGACTTTTATCTAGTCGTTTCTTTGCTATATTCCCAGAACTTAGAATAGTAACTGATACAAAGTTGCGGCTCAGTCAATATTTATTGAATGAACAAGTAAATAAATGAATGGAAGACTGTGAATGTGGAATCAGAAGGCTTGTGATCTTTAGGGAAGTCCCATAACTTCCCTAAAGTGGAATGGAAGACTTTCCTAAACTAATGGAAGACTGTGGATGTAGAACCAGAAGGCTTGTGATCTTTAGGGAAGCATTCTTCACATGAAAAACAGGAACCATAATTCTCATGTCATTTTGGTAATGATTATACAATGTACCATTTATAGAGGCATCATGTAATAAACTGCTAAATAAAAGGTATAATTTTTGATCAAACTGAATTCTTCACCAGAGAGGTACTTAATTTTTATAATCTAAGAGCTACCAGATTGCCAAAAAGGAAGCACAGAAACATTCAGACACAGAAAACCTTAACAATGGTTCTGATATTCAAATAAGATATAAA